AGACTATGGAGCAAATCAAATGAGAAAGCCTGTGCCTGCCTTAAAAGGTTATGTCTTTGCTAATCCTGAAGAGCCCAGCAGGCCAGCTTAATGTACTAGTGTATTTGGTGATTTTGCTTCTCAGGGGCCATTTGTTCAGGAAAAAATGGAAAGTGGAAATATGAAGTCAGTTTTCTTCTGACATTTCCAAGGATGAATATTTGTGAAGGACAAACAGGCAATCTCTTTTTAAAAACAGTCAATCCAAAGAGCCTAGAAAGTCCTTCAGAGTTGCAAATAGAACATTAGATCACAACGTCAAAGAAAAACACAAAAAACTGGAAAACTCTGCTATTGAGAAAAAATAAGAATATCCACAAATACATTACAAATTCATGTTTCTCAGTAGAGTACTTAAGTTTCAATTTTAGGCAGTACCTAAAATTCAAAGCCAAACCATCAAATACATGTGAGGTATGAATCAGTAAAGTAAAACAAAACATATACATATACCATACCCACCCCATTCTCTTTCCTTTCCAATTCCTCTCATGCTCCTTTCCAACACTCCCGAATTCATCTTCCTCCCCTCATCAAAGTAGCTTCTTTTTGCAGCAGACAGATGCTGCTACAGAGATCCACAACCGGTTGAAATGCAGAGAATAAGTGACTGTGGGGTGTCCAGTCCCAACTAGTACATCTACAACACAATTCCCACACCCTAAAGCAGAAGAGGGGGTGGAAAGATTGTAAGAGACAGAAGACAAATTCACTTATTGCTATCTTCCAGACAGGGATGCTGCACCCATGAAATCTCAACAGTATGGTTACCTAAACAAGATCTTTGGTTAACATGTCAATATGGGTGGGGGAACACTCACAAGGGCCCATCCCTATGATGAGTTGAGAGAGAGAGAGAGAGAGAGAGAGAGAGAGAGATTCAGTTTTCTCCAGGAACAAGTGACACTTACTTTGATAAGTAATCCACTCCCAAGTGGTCAGCTCTAAATACATGTGCTATAGATAAGCAGCACTAACTGGACTCAGTAAGTCATATATATATATATATACATATAATGTGATGTTACTTTGTTCAATGAAACTATCAGAAATAAATAGAATATAAATTTAAGTTACTTTATTTTCATTTTAAAGTAACAGAAGATCCCACAAACATTTTTATAAATTATCATATTAAGAGAAAAATAGAAAATTCCTTAAGGACTTATAACAGGGGGCAATATATTCATATTGATTTATAGAATTTTTCAATTTCACAACTGAGAAAGCTAAAATTAGATTATTTGTTGAATTGAGCTGTACATCTGACAGGAGATTAATATCTAAATTATGTGAAGAACTAGATAAATTAAATACCAGAATTCCAAATAAACAAATTAATAAATGAGCAAATGTTCCAAACAAGCAGTTTTCAAAAGAAGTACAATAAATATATGAATAAAAGACTCAGTGTCCTTAGCCATGATAGAAATGCAAATTAATACTATGTTGAGGTTCTATTTCATTCAGTCAAAATGGCTGTCATAATGAGAACAAACAACAATAAATGTCAGCAAAGATCAAGCAAAAATGACTCTGTAAGTGTTGGTGGCAATGTGAATTAGTTCAACCACTACAGAAATCAGGTGTATAAAAGGAACCAAAGTCAGCATGAATAGAGATATCTATATCCTTGTGCTTATCATGACATTCTTCACAATAGCTAAGTTGTTATATCAGCCTCCTCAGTATACATCAACAGATGAATAGATAAAGATAATGTGGCACATTTGCACAAAAGAGTTTATTTTTTTTAGCCATGAAGAAAGAAGAATCATATTTTTACAAGAAAAGAGATGGAAATGATGATCATCATTTTAGAACAATTGTCAAGTTTTCTTTCCTATACGGAATTGAGAGAAGAGGATGACAAAGGACTTATGCTAAATGTGTAAATGAGATTGTCACAACAAAACCCATCTCTGTACAATTAATGTGTTAATAATAATAATAGAACATCATGAGAGGCTATTATATCTTTAACAGAAGAGCCCAAACTCAAGGCCATGTCTTCTGATTGTTTAACATGGTCCACTTGTTACTTTGACACAGTGCTTGTAGGATTCTTTGTGGTTCAGTCTAACAAACCCTGCTGACTTCTCCTTCCCTCCAGGGTAAGCACCACAGTAACTGTGTAGGAATGCTTGGCCTCCATCTTGAATAGCAGATTACTCTCTCCTCCTTTCTTTCAGGAGTTGCAGTTGGCCAACAAATATATTCTTTGAGTATATAGACATTGAACACATTGCTTGGTAGAGAGTGACATGTTCCTTGCCCCTAAGGGACTTTGATATGGATTAGGGGAGATAAACAGTGAGTATCTTATAATGAAGTAAGCACATCATCAGGTGCTAAGAAGAAAATGAAATCATACCTAACACTGTCGCTTTAGGGTGGGGACTTAGGTAGGCTATGTTTTCAGCAAGGTTGGTAAAGTAACTTGCATATTCCAAATAGAAAATAATGAAATGTGCAATGTACTAACATCGTCAATATGTATTATTGTGGTAGATCACATGACCCATCTAGTGGTTTGAATCTCAGTCAAAAATATGGGCATGCAGGATAAGTAGGACAAATGTTTGAGTAGAGGATGATAACATTCAGTAAAACTACTATGCAGTCTTAGCTCTTGATCCTGAAGCTATTCCTTGTCCAAAAAATAAAACTTACCTTGTGTTGAAAATTCTTCTAAACATTTTCAATGAATTAACTCATATATAAGAATTATACCACAGATACAATTTTCAACTTTTTAAATATGAAGGAACTTTTCCTGTGATAGGTTGAATAATGCTCCTCCAAAGATGTCCATGTCCTAGTTATAAGAACCTGTGAATTTGTTACAGAGTAAAGTGGGCTTGCCAGATGTGACTGTTAATGAATTTAAGATGACAGTATTATTCTGGATTATCTAGGTGGATCCAGTAGAATCATGGACATTCATAAGCATCAGAGAAGGAGACAGAAACAGAAGTTGGAATAATAATGTGGCCAAGAGCCAAGGAATTCGGGTAGCTTCTAGAATCTAGAAGAGGCAAGGAAATAGATTTCCCTAGAACCAGAATGAATGAGTGTTACTTTGATTTTAGTGCAGTAAAACTAACTTCAGATTTCTGGTTTCCCAAATTGTTGCATAATAAATTCATGTTGTTTATTTTGCCATAAGCCACTACATTTGTGGTGATTTTTTAATAGTAACAATAGGAAAGTAGTAAGTTGCCCAAGGTCATCACACTACAAAATAATAGAACCAAGGTTTAAATGGCGGCAATCTGATGCCAGTGCCAATATTAAACCGTCGTGCCATAGGGCCTCTCATGGGCAGAATAAAAACTGACTATTGCATAGTCAGCCCTAAATGGAGCATAGATATCACCTCTTCCCAGTGAACATTTCAGAAGATGGGAACAGAAGGGATATAAGAGGAGAGTTATGAAATTCTGAGTTCTGGCCATGACATGGCCATTACAATCTTAAACAAAGCAGGTGTGGATGCCCAGACAAGAGATACATAAAATGAAAATACATGAAAGCAGGACGGAAACTAGCTGGGAAGAAGGATGGGATCATCAGGAAGTGGAAGGGAACAAGAGAGGGTAACCGGAGTAGATATGATTACAGTACATTATATGCATGTAAGTAATTGTCAAAAATAAAAAAGAGGAGAAAAGGGAGGGTCTTCTCAATTTTCTTACGTTCATTGGCCCTACAGAAATGAGAAAGCAGATACAAGTGTTCATGTACACGTGTATACACACAAACAGAGAGAGAGAGAGAGAGAGAGAGAGAGAGAGAGAGAGAGAGAGAATGCTCCTATACAAATTGGGACATTCTAATCCCCTTCCCCCTTCTATAAGTGTAGTCACTGACATAATCCGCTCATTTTGGAGATGAAGAAATTGAAAACCAAAAGCTTGTGCTCTTGAAGTTAGGGGGCTAGTGGGCTTAACAGTTACATAAAGAGCACATAGTTCAGAGAAGAGATCCAGCTCCCCCAAGGTGTCTGTGCCTGTGTGGGACTAGAGAAAGAACGCTATGTGATAAAGACTAGGATGCAGATTTTTTTTTTTACTCTTGTATGTGTTCTTAGTATCTTAGGAAGGGAGGGAGCAGGAACGTTTACAGTTATCAGCATTCAGCTTCTAAAAGAATAAGTTCTCACTGTAACAATCTTGTGGTTACTCTGTTCCCAAGTTTTAGCCTCCTGTTTGTCTTGCTTTCAGGCTCCCAGCTCCCTAGCACAACATCTAAGTCATAATGGATGCTTATAAATATTGATTGAATTAAACTGAACATGTGTAATTACATACTTAGACCAAGATTTTTCAAACTTAAGATTCATGTGAATCCCCTGGGGGACTTCGTTAAAACTCTCACCCAGAAAGTCTGGCTGGGGCTGGTGATTGGGCATTTCAGTGGGGTCCCTGTATAATGCTGACACTGCAGGTCTATAGATCTACACTTTTCAAGGTCATAGAAAATGAGACCTTACAATCTACACATTAGACAAAATTCACGTTACACAAATTGTGCTCATTCCATAAAAGTTTAAAAGATGGCCTAGAAACAGAACATTTTCCGTGTAGATTCTCCTTCCTCTGATAAAGGGAATGAATTGGATGCCAGGGTCCAATGGCAAGACTTGGAACAGTGCCCCAACTCCCTGCCCCAGGCTCTCTTCTTCCACCGGTAGGAGAAGGAGGGGTAGAGGGAGAAAGGAAGGGAGGGTCCGCGAGCTCCGCTGCTGACGACTTTCTCCTCGATTACAAGCTTCTAGGGAGTATGTGCCCCTTTGAACTTACGAGGTCAGGGGCAGACACATTCAAGCGCAACGCTGCGTCCCCCTCTGCGCTCTTGCCCAGGAGGAGGAGAAGGCGGACGCGCTTGCGTGCACGATCAGTATAAATAAGTCCCAGGAGACCGCCACAGGGCAGAACTCGCTGCAAGAGCCTCGAGCCATGGCAGGTGAGGACCACCCCTGGCAGGGTAGCATCCTTTACAATCTGCTTATGAGCGCGAAGCAGAAGGAAGCGGCTACCGAGGCGTCCCAGAAGCGGCAGGAAACTCCCTGCTGGGGCTGCGCCTGTGGCGCTCAGTCCGTCGTAGGCAGGGAGGGATCGCCCGGCGGGCAAGCCATGGCACTCCTGTACCGCTGCTGCTTTTGCGGGGAGAACCACCCGCGCCAGGGCAGCATCCTCTACTCAATGCTCACCAGCGCCCAGCAGACCCGCGCGGTGGTGGAGGCACCCAGAGCGCGTTTCGGAGCTCCGTGCTGGGGCTGTGCCTGCGGCAACGCTGAGCCCCTGATGGTCGGTGAGGGGCCGCCCAGCAACCGGGCGCCATCGCTCCTGTACCGCTGCTGCTTCTGCGGAGAAGAGCACCCGAGGCAGGGCAGCATCCTATACAGCTTGCTCACCAATGCCAGCCAGATGCACGTGGCTCCTGAAGCGCCCGAAGCACGTCGCGGAGCCGCGTGGCGGCAGCTGTCCTACTGTGCGCAGAGGTTGAGTAGCCCCGAGGGGCTGCAGGGCGCACAGGCCACGGCATTCCTGTACCGCAGCTACGTGAGCGGTGAAGAGCAGCAGCCGCAGCAGGACAGTGTAGTCTCCAGCGTGTCGGTGAGCTCAGATCAACCGCGCGCGGTTGCAGAAGCGCAGCCGAGGGCCCTCTGGTGGGATACCTCGAATGGTGCGCAGCGGCCAGTAGCCCTCAAGAATCCACAGGTGGTGTGCGAGGCAGCATCGGCTGGCCTGCTGAAGACGCTGCGCTTCGTGAAGTACCTGCCCTGCTTCCAGATCCTGCCCCTGGATCAACAGCTGGTGCTGGTGAGAAGCTGTTGGGCGCCCCTGCTCATGCTTGAGCTCGCCCAAGATCACCTACATTTTGAGATGGTGGAGATCACAGATCCCAGCGTGCTGCAGAAGATGCTCACCAACAGGCCACAGGACAACGAAAGCCAGGAGGGAGCAGGTGCCCTGGCCACACAGCAGCCAGATATGGAATCGCCCCCCGCGGAGGATGGGCAATTGCCTTGGGCCGCCGCCATCCAAGCCATCAAGACCTTCTTTTTCAAGTGCTGGAGTCTGAATATTGATACCAAGGAGTACGCCTATCTCAAGGGGACCGTGCTCTTTAACCCAGGTAAGTGCACCATTCATGTGCGCGGGATTTCCCCAAGTCAGAAAAGAACTAGACAGTGCCACCGCTGCCCGCAGACACTGACGAGATTTCAGCGGTGATGGAGGTGTCGGAGCCCATGCAGAGAATTCCATCCGGGCCGAATTAGAAGATGTGTCGTGACTACTGCTCCCAGTGGGAGCCCCCGCCAGAAACTCAGCGTCCGGTGGTGAGGTGGGTGGGGTGGGAGTATCATAAGCTCTTTTATTTGGCTCTCTAATTTTATTACGTTTCTACAGAAGTTTCTGCATTGCACTGGGCATTGTTCTCTCTCTCTCCCTCTCTCTCTCTCTCTCGCTCTCTCTCTCTCTCTCTCTCTCTCCCTCTCTCTCTCTCTCTCTCTCTCTCTCTCTCTCTCTCTCTCTCCCTTCTTTAGCTGTCTTTTAAATTCAGTAACATAACTTTAAAGAAGTTTTTGCCCAGAGCACGCAAGCCTTCCTTAGATTTTTGTTTTGCAAATTTGCATGTAAGAAGAACTCTGGGGAGGGGGATGGAATTCCAGGGGCAGTAAAAGTTTTCTCAGGCTCTTCCCCCTTGGGATTTAGTAGCTCCGGCCCAGAGTCTGCAAATCTGCATACATTAAATGGTAAGTGGCTAAGGGGATTCTTGAGGTCATCTGGAAAACAGTTTTCTCACTCTTTTCAGCCAGTGTTATTAATCATGCTCTATTGAGATACAAAGGCGAGACCAAGGTCTCGGCTTTCAGAAGTTTGTATTTCCAGTAGTTTCCCTCTTTCCTTGACCCTGTTTTATTCTCTCTCTCTCTCTCTCTCTCTCTCTCTCTCTCTCTCTCTCTCGTTTAGCCCACCCAAACAGTGCTTTTTGAATATAACTGCACCTACATTTAGAGCAAACATAATGTCTATCGTGTGTGGCCTCTGTTTCCTGATTATCTTTTTGCATTTTCTTGTCTTTATGTTTAAAACTTTACATACGTTAAATATGCACAAAAGGTTAATATTTATATATAATCATAAATGGCTTTTAAGGTAAGGAGATAAGTAAAAAATAAGGAGGCCATTGCTTTTTTCACTTTCCTGCCTTTACACTGAAACTTCAAGTTGGGGTGGGATTGATCACATGAATGTAAATACAAGAACTTTGCATATTACTATCATGGGGGATCATGTGACTTTTTTCATGAATTGCTTTTTAAAACAGCCTCCTCTTAAATTTGTTTTAAAGCTATATACACCTACTGTTCCCTGTACTGTATTTTCTTTCATTTTTATTTAGGTATCACACTGCAAGAAGGTCATGCATTTTCTATTAGAAAAGTTTATTTGAACCAAGTTTCACTCTTTGCTGTTTTCATTTTTACCTTTTCCTTTTTAACCTGTTAATGTCCCTAAGGGACTGCTTTCAAAAAACAACCTCTTCTGTTAATCTTTCTTTTTTTTCCAAAAAGACCTTTTGCACCATTCACTAGAATCATTTTTTAAAAATTATCCAATATGGAAAGCTAACCAGTCATCATTAGCATTTAATTTATTATGAGGGTCTAGAATCATATTAGCCTACAGGCCAATAGTATAAAACATGTAAGTACAATTTGTAGCTGTGAAGCTTACCACCTAGGGGCTGGGGTATAACTGTAGGAAATATCAAGAAAGAATGGCAAAATATTTGTCATCTCGCAAAACGTTTTATAATTTATTAAAGCAGCATTAATGTCTTTGTATTTTCACAGAAAGTGAAGTGGAGCAATGATGCATTCAATTAGATTCTATCACCATTAAATTAAGTGTGCCTCTGTTGGCTCACGGCCAGTGTTTTCTAAATGTGTGTACAAACCCAGTGAATATTAAATAGAAATGACTGAACGATCTTTCCTTCTTAGAAGTGTTGCTTCTGAAAACTTAGAGCTGTTTTTAACCTTTTATTCTTGCCCTAGGAAACTCTTTTAACCAAGAAGTGTGAGCACTTTTAATGGAGAACAGACAAAACTGAATGTTACCTACAAGCTAGTAAAGATCTCTGTTGTGAGCTGTTTATAATAAAATTTTCTACTTCCAGACCTGCCAGGCCTGCAATGCGTGAGATACATTGAGAGCCTTCAGTGGAGAACTCAGCAGATCCTCAATGAGCACATCACCATGATGCAGAGAGAATACCAGACCAGATCCTCCGAATTGAATAGCGCCCTTTTCCTGCTGAGATTCATCAATACCGATGTCATCACTGAACTCTTCTTCAGGCCCATCATTGGCACAGTCAGCATGGATGATATGATGCTGGAAATGCTCTGTTCCAAGTTGTAAAAGCATGTGGGCCACTCAAGTGTATCTTACTATAAAAGAATGATAAACGAGCTAGCTGTAGGCAAGAGTGTTAGATATTGTGAAAGCAAACTTTCTTGTATTTTTACATGCATAGTATATTTGTATTCAATTAAAGAAATAACTTTAGTTATAGAAAATGTAATAACCCTGTGCTCCATAGTGTTTCCTTTCAAAGGAAACATTTGCTAATGGATAACATGCCTCTGAACATCTTTAAGACAAAGAGTGTGGTACTATGCTAACAAGCTATTTTCACAAATATAACCTCTCTTTCCATTTTCCTGCTCAAATAAAATTTGTAATACTAACTTTTAATAAAATTTAATGTACTAACCCAAACTTGACTCAAGAAACTTTTATTGGTGTTTAAGTAAGTTTTCATGCATCTCTTAACTCTCTCCTGAGAAATTTCCTTGTGCAGCAGATGGTGATTAACACAGAGAACCACAGTTAGCCGATGTGCAGAGAACAAGAGGCCTCAGAGTGCTTATCCCTAAATAGGAAAGCTATTTCAAAGTTCTGCCTCCCAAGGCTCAGGGATCATTGCAGAAGAGGAGGCAGAAAGATTGTAAGAGCCAGAGGGGGTGGATGACCAAAGGGAAACAGAGTCTTCCAGACAGCTGGTCAGTTATTCATATGAACTCACAGCAATGGTGACAGCATGCACAAGTCCTATGCAAGCTCAAACCAGATAAAGTCCCAGCATGGGCATGGCAAGTGGGTAAGAAATCCCAGCCCAACCTAGGGAACTTGGGATAATTGATGGCTACTGGGAGAGGAAAAAACAGTGTCTTTGTAGGGTTAGGACTCTTGGTGGGCCCAGTGGATAGATTCACACTGAAGAACATTGGTGGACACAGTTCATACTCTATAGGCCATCTTATATATGTAAGATAGATCATTGAATTGGGAGGGGGTGGGCAGTAAGGGGAGGTGCAGAGAGGGGAGCAGATCTAAGTGCCATCAAACTATATTGTTAAATTCAATTAAAATGCAAAAAATTATTAAAATATAGTTAACATTAACCAAAGAATGTTCATAAGTAGCCTCATAAGATTCCACATTATAACATACAATGAAAGATGACTTTGCCTAGGCAGCCTTAGTGTCCACCTGGAAGCCACCTGAAAGTGAATAAGATCTTCATAGTTTGAATTTACAATTTTTCTGTACCACAGTATGTATTTGAACTAAAGTTTCATTAGTTTCATTATGTTCTATCAGGAGTTTTATAGTTCCAGAAAGTTCAACATGCTATACAATTTTTATTAAACCTCATCGCTTAGGTACACTGTTTTGATAACTTTCAAATTGAGCAATCATGACAAATAAATTTGAAGTAACTTTTTTGTTGCCCTTTTAAATATAATCTAAAGAGCTAGTTCTTCCTTGTCCTGACATAAAATTTGTGGCTATACATGTCTATTCACTTATAGGCAATACATTGCCTGCTAGTGATCAATAAATCTAATCTAGCGTAATGACATTGCAAAGAATCTTTTTTATTATGGAGACAGAGTCTCACTCTATAATTCAGGGTGGCCTGAACTCACTTGTAGCCCAGGTTGTCCTAAAATTCATGGTATTTTCCCTGCTTAACTTCCCAAGAGCAAGGATTATGGGTGTACACCAATGCATCGAACTTGCAAGGAGTCAGAAGCCTTTTTATGTAAAGATTGCTTTGGCACTCTGGCAAATCCTATGGACAACTTATCAGTATCAGACTCTGAGAGTAATAGAACAAATAAAACACTTAGGATTACAAAATAAATGAATCATATCAAAGAATAGTATTAAACTTTTAAATATTTAAATATTTTACATGTGGCATAATGCATGTGCTTTTCATTAATGTGTTAAGTAAAAATTGGTAGCAAGTGTAATAGCTACCTTAATTTAAAACAATAGTCAATGTAATTACTGTTCAATATATCTACAATTCAACATACCTACATTTCTAATGTGATAAGAAAATATCTCAAGGAGCCCAGAATATAGGTATGCTCAGGGCTATGAATCAAGGACATATAGTTGGATCGTAAATTACCAGGACATAGGCAGAATGTGGAAGAACCCATGTGAAGAACTGCCTTTGCTCTCTCGCTCCCAGGAAGTGCCATAGTGAGTACATTCTTCTCCCAGTAATGAAAACTCAGTAATATGTTTACAACATTTCAATATTTATGCCAAGAGAAACACTTTGAGATTCAGAGGGGCTTTTATTTTTTTATTTTTATTAAGGCTGGCCATATAGATTTCCTCTACCTAGCATATAGCAAAATTCCAAACATATAGAAGAAAAAGTGGTCTGTGTGAACCCCATTATTTGCACAAATAATTTAGGCATAGTGAGTCACCTTATAAGTTAAGGTGAGAAAACTATCTAAATCAAAGTTCCGAGATGTTAGTGAACAGCCCACCTTATAAACTCTTCCAAGAAGACCAATCAAATCTACTGTGTCCTCTTTTCTTTGTAGTCTATCTCCTTGACCCATTGTCAAGGTGTCTTTGACCAGTGGGACCACACAACCTGTGGCATTTGTCTCATGCCCTTTGGGAGGTCTAGATTTAGCAGTTGAATTAAATTCCATTGACCTTAAAGGTCTGTCTTAAGCAGACAGGTGGCTTCCTTCCTTGTTTATTTTTTAATCTTTTGAACCTGACCCTGCATAGCTTTGGCCAGTAAGGAGAAATTGACCCGACCAACTTCCAGGGCTGAGGCAATGATGTGATGGTTAGGGGACACACATAAAAAAGTACAATTCCTGAGGGCTCTTGTGGATCCCAGCTTGCAAAGGCAGCTGAGTGTTTTCTTCTGGAAGAGGAAAAAGCTTCCAGAAGTTCCTAAAATATCATTAACAGTCTATTCCCTTCCAGGTTTCCACCCCCCCTGTTACACAGTCAGTGCCTCGTTCAGGATTTTATTAACCTCATATTTTTCTTAACCACCTTATTTTCTTCAGCTTAATTTTTTTTTTTTCAATTTGGAAGGACTGTGTGCAACGGAGACAAAAGCAGTTTTTTACCAAGTAACATTTCAGGCAACTGAGTAAGTAAGGTGTATTAGTCACTTTTCTCTTGCTGTGATAGAAACACTGACCCAAGCAATTTATAGAAGGAAGGATTTATTTGAGCTTACAGTTCCAGGGGAATTTCGGTCCATCTTGGTGGGGAGGCATGGTGGCGGAGGTGGCTGGAGAGGAGGAGCAGAAGTGAAACTCTCACATCATCATGCAGGCACAGGAAGCAAGAAAGCAACTGGAGATCCAGCAAGGCTTAAGAATTCTCTAAACCCAGCCCCAGTGATGTGCTTCCTCCAGGATAGACACACCTTCTAAAACCTCCTAAAACAGTGCCGTCATCTGGGGACAAAATGTCCAAATACTCAGAGCCTATGGGGAACATTTTCAGTCAAACCATCACATAAGGTATATCATGTCCTAGAAACAGTCTGGGTAACTTAAAATATTATTTTAATTTTGGATGAGTTTACCCATCACCACTCATATTTTGTACCACCACTCATATTTATCCATTTAGCAGCTAGAGGAAATGTTAGTACCATTCTGGAAACATCTGCAGGGAGTGCTCAAACTGAAATAATCATGTGTATGCAGCAGGATAAAAATGAGGGAAGTTGGGGCTGGAGAGATGGCTCAGTGGTTAAGAACACTGGTTGTTCTTACAGAAGACTCGGGTTCGAATCCCAGCACCACACGGCAGCTAACAACTGTCTACGGAAAGTTCCAGGGGATCCGACAGCCTCTTCTGACCTCCGAGACCATTGCACAACACAGGTGCACTTACTTACATGCAGGCAATACACACATACACATAAAATAAAAATAATAAATAAAATTTTTTAAAATGAGGGAAGTAGAGTCAGCTTATCAGTCTGTTCCTGTAAACTGCAAATATTCTGGGAAGTGGGACACTAGTTAACAGAAGTGAAGTAACTGATAAGCAGAGGGCTCACATCCTTGTGGTATGCCCTGTCCCAAACTGCAGCTTTCAGAAGGAATCCTAAGTTAGAAAAGCAATCAGGTTCTTGTATCAGAAGTTTCATTTCAAATTGTCCCATTATGGAACAATGTCCTTCCTTAGGGCATCTACATGTAACCTAAATTCACCTAGCTGGCATCTGTAACAATTGCTTCATGAATTATGATGTCACAGAACAGTGTCTTTAATGACAATCAGAAGACTAAGTTTTGTCTATGGAGCCAGTGCCTGCTTTTAGCTCAGCACAAATTTGAGATGAAAGTGAACTAGTGAATAGGCACTATCAGGTTTCAGATTAGAGTCAGGCCAAGGAATTAGGATCTGTAAGTTCAGTGTTCCAGAAAAGCCAAGAGCTTTTCTTCAGTAACAGAAAACACTAGACACTGTAGAAACAGCTGGGTGGAAAGTCGTAAGCATTGTCTTCCCTAGCAGTCAATGTTGTCTAAATAGACCTGTGTAAAAATATGCACATTAGGACATAAAATCATTAACCCCTAAGTGCCAGAAATCTGATTTCACAAGAGCATATTAATAAAAAGAAGCAAACAAATAACACCTCTCTGAAAACTACTATTAAAACTTCAGAAAGTATACCTCTACCTGGATATTGGCTCTTTTCAAGAGGCTCCAATAGACAAAACACCAATTACGGTTATATAACTTTCCAACACCACTTTCAATCTGTTGACCTGTGGCACAAAGCAAGGGAGCTGTATCTTGCAGTGAATGATAGTGAACGGATATAGTGTAGTAATACACACTCACTAGAATATTATTCAGTGTTACAGAAAGGAAGAATCTAACCTAAGCATAGTAACTTGTGCTTGTAATCCTAGAATTTGGGGATCTCAGGCAGGAAAAACACAGATTTGAAGTCAACCTAGGCTATATAGTGAGTTTCAGGTTGGTTGGGGCTATGGAGTGAGGTTCTGTCTCAAAAAGAAAACAAAAATGTACTGTCTTTGGAATGTATTTCA